AAAAAAGAAAGAAAGAAAGCGGGCTCCATAAAGTCACGGAGGTTTTCTGTAAATGCCATGTCAACACACTCCCACCCTGGCTCACGGTAACAACCCACACAATGTGCAAAGGCCATCACAGCACAGAGGCACTAAGGCTATCACCATAGTAAATGCCCAGGGCAAACCAGATAACTCTATGAAACAACCTTTCTCCCTTCCCTATTTCAGTCTTGCAAACATAGAACTCAGAGAAGATGTCTGGTGTGGTGATGCATGCCTTTAATCCCAGCACTCGGGAGGCAGAGGCAGGCAGATCTCTGTGAGTCCAAGGCCAGCCTGGCCTACATAGTGAGTTCCAGGATAGCTGGGGCTACAGGGAGACCCTGTCTCAAAAAGACAAAAAAAAAAATAGTAACAATAAAATAACTCATAGAAGCTACAGTAAACCAGGTGGGGAACAGGCCCCCAAGTCTCTGAGAGCCTTATGACTTATTTACCTGACTTCCTTTATTCTTCATAGAGGGAACCCAGGGCTCCTAATCACCATGTTCTTGCTCTCTGTCAACCCCAACCTCCTCACACACATACTTCACAGGGCAGTCAGTGATCAAAGGGACAAAACCATACCAACTCCCATTAAAAAGGGTGCTCTTACCTATAATGGTCCGGCTCCCTTTGCCCCAATCCAGGCTCTTAGCCTCCAGAGACAACGTTCCAGGGAGGACAAGACTGCCATCCTTAGAGCTTCTGGACAAGGCACGGGCTCTATGGGATCAGATCTAGGCCCTCATCCAACCATAGCCTCTGTTCCCAGCATAGTAGCTCCACTACCCTCAATCTGTACCAGAGAAGCGGAAGAAGGATCTATAGTACCCATCATGCAGCAACTGAGGTGGCTCAGGGATGGGCTACAGGCCAGCTCCCTGGAACTCCTGGGCAGTGGGGAATTGCATGCTGGTCATTATGAGGAGGCAGGCACTAACGGGAAGTGGTGGATACACATGCTGACTAAGCACATTCCAAGGGCAAGAACAAAGAACCATATGTACTGAGCCTCACACAGGGATGGCAAAGAGCTCTCAGGAAGTCATCCCAGGCAGAAAATAGCTCAAATATGAAGTGTCTCTCCAAGATCACAGGCAGATGAGAGCCTTCCCCCCAGAAGTCTCTCACTAGCAGACTTGTTGGTCACACCACCCACAGCACCCAGTTAGCCCTTTGCTTTTGGGGTCTGTAATCAGGCTTTTCCTGATAGATCACTATGAGTGAGCCCTTTGGCAAAACACAGCACAGACACCACTGGGGGAGAAACAATCGCCATCTGCCCACGGGGATAATCAGTGACCTTAGACTCCACACCAGCGTGGACACTGCTGCCTCCACCTGCACTGCAGTTGCATACATACAGGTGCACCCAGGCTGTGCCCACCTACCCTGTGAGGACCACCACGAAGTCCATGACATTCCAGCCATTTCGAAGGTAGGAGCCCTTGTGGAAAACGAAGCCCAGTGCGATGATCTTGATCCCCGCCTCAAAGCAAAAGATCCCGATGAAATAGGGTTCCGTGTCATCCTGAAGAGGAGCACAGGACAATGGTCACCTCTGTCCCACAGTGTAGTAGCTAGGCAGCAGGCTTTGTCTGACGGCCACACCCCCTATCCCATGGCGGACCCTGCTGACCCTGCAGGCTTCTCCAGCATGCACTGCCACCACTAGCCTGTGTGTAGTCAACCAACACACCTCCTAATGAGACCTAGCACTGCTGATATGGCAGCAGTGTCTTGCTCACACCTAGAAGCCCTTAGGCCTCCACTCTGATATCTGAGTTTCTGCTCCATTCACAGAGGACCCAGAACTGTTACTGTTTCTGCTGGAATTATGCAGCAGACCTTGCTTGAGGAGTTCATGGAGGTAGTAAACACGCTCATTAGAGTGTATGAAACTTCTTGTATTAACTACGGCAACCCTTTCAACATCCTCTGAGGTTTTCCCCATTGTAAGATTACAAAGGCACAGAGAGAAAGGAACGAGGTCAGAGACTATAGCTAAGCCATCGGCCACCGTGAACATGGGCTCTGGCCACTAAGCCAGGTTACCTGGATAAAGCTTCACATGCTTAGATTTTGCTTCAAGGCTCGTTCACACATGCAACACACCTAGACAAGTAGGGCAAGCAAATTCTGGTACCAAAAAAAATTGGGCGGGGGGGGGCTCTAGCACCGAGGATACCGAAGTGATGACGTGTGAAAACCAGGGGGGCAGTACCAATTTACAGGCCAGGCCTGAGGTCCCATAGAGGCTAAGAGGTGGGAAAAAAACTCAGGTACCCACACATGCCAAGGCTCAGAGAGCCTCCCCAAAGGTGTAGCATCAAAGGTTTTCAGGGTTAGAGTCTGAGGACAAGATTCTAGTTGGAAAAAAGCAGTGGGAGAAAAGGAATGACGATGGGACAAGAATAAGATCCTCCAAGGCAGGGGCTAGAGAGATAGCTCAGTGGTTAAGAACACTGACTGCTCTTGCAGAGGACCCAGGTTCGATTCCCAGCACCCACATGGCAGCTATGAACCGTCCTTAACTCCAGTTTCAGGGGAATCCGAAGTCCTCTTCTGACCTCCACAGCATTGCACGACACAGATGCACTCATATATATGCAGGCAATACACTCGTACACATAAAATAAAAAATAATAAATAAAATAATAATAATAATAAAAGATCCTCCAAGGCTACTTCTCAGCCAGCACCTACAGGGCATGGCCTTGGAGCAGACCCTTCCAGTGCTTGGGGAAAATGATGCTACATTAGCATACATGTGGCAAGCAACAGGCGCACCACATGCAAGATAAAGGTAGCAGAAAGAGTCTTAAGAAGCTGGACCAAGGAGGGTCAGCATGACTCAGATGCTGCATTCTGGGGCTGCAGCTTTAAGAGAAGAAGCAACTGGGGGAAGGCCAGCTTCCAGAGCCCTCAGAACAAACCCCAGTAGGAAATGTTTCTTCAGAGCCACTCTGAACTATAAGAGAATGCTCAGCAGCTGGCCTGGACACTTGGTCCAAGAAGCTGCTAGGTGAGATGGGGTCACTGGCTCCCTCAGGCTCAGCCTTTCTCCCATAAGTCTGACCCTCAAGGGTCCCCTGCCTTGCTGACTCTTCAGCCTGGGTTCTCCCTCTCCTGCCTACAGGAGAGCCAGCCCCCAGGTTGACTGATCACAGAACTGAAGAAGTTGCACATGAGGGGCTTGGGCAACAGAATGCTCATGATGGCCTAGCATTCTTGTCCTGCTTCCCTGATGCTGACTCATGACAAGGATGAGGATCCTAGAGGAATGCATGCACTTTTCTTGGCCTCAAGGTTTTTGGTCCAGTTTAGTCAGGAGGGTCTCCTCTCCTCAAGGGGAGGGGCTGCTGACCATATACCCAAAGGGAGCAGCTGGGCTCAAAAGAAGAGATCATCACAGAAAGCTCATGGACAGAAAAAATAAGCGCAGGCCAGACTCCAGGGCCACTAACAAGTAGGTCCTACCCTAGGTTCCTCTGCCTACCCTGGCCCAGCATATGACTGAGGGTTGGTGGGGCTGTAGGATGTTTATGCCAAGGGCTTGAGAGGCACTGGGCTGTAAGCTAGAGACTCAGGCAGCTCCAGAAGATAGGTGAATAGCAAGCACAGCCCCCTCAAAGACAAGGAAGCACTGCCCAGAACAAGACTGGGAAACACTGAGAGGTCCCAACACCATCCAGCCCCTATCTGTTCCCCACGCAGTAGCACCAGTCTCCAAGCCCATCTCTCTTTTGTCCATCCTAACAGCCCCTACATGGGTCTACATTCAAGACTGGAATCAGCAGAGAGTTCCTTGGACCTCCAGGATGGACCAAAGAGAGGTATACGCCACTTGATTTCCCAAAAGCTTAGCCACTAGTAGTATACCTCCCCCAGACCCAGCACCACCACCAAGCAAACCTGCTACAGACTCAGGAGCTCACAAAGCTAGAAAACAGACTATTGTATGAGAGGATGCCTAAGCCTGAACACTACATTGTCCTCCTTGCACTGACCTCAGTTTTGCCTATGTCCTACCTGTCAGACTTCCTTGAAGATAATGGCCATGCCCTGTGGACTGACACTGGAGATTCAGCATGATGAACCTCCAGGTTCTACTCTTCTCTGGTCTCTGGAATGAGTACTCATCACAAGGACAGAGCAGACAAAGGACCTACTCCATCAAAGGCCCACAAGACCAGAGGAACCCTACTGGGCATGCCCAGAAGCACCCAAAGACCATAACTTACCCTCTGCTTTAAAATGTAGGACTGGTCTCACACTCCTCCCCCACCTTCACTATCCAAGGCCACTTGGCCTTCTCCTGTCCTCCAGGAAGACCCTCATCTCCAGGTAGCCACATCAGATATCCTCTTAGTTGGTTTGACTTGATGTCATAGCCACCACCCCTTCAAAACCACAGGGCTATGAGTAGCCAGGTGGGAAGGAATGTACACCAGAGCTTAGCAGGGAACTAGGTCCCAGGCTAAGCACCACTCTAACCTGTTCAGGGAAGCAACAGCCAGGGTAAATGAAGAAAGGATGGAGCAGCTTCTTCTCCTTAAAGACTTCAATCCCTAGGGCCCTTCTTCTGACCCTTCCTTTTGCTTCTCTTCCTTACCTGAAGTGCTATAGTTTCACAGCACATACGCCACACATATTAAGCCCAAGCAAAACGGCAGCAGGAAAGACGTGTGGCTACCTCAAACTCTCTGACTCAACCTCTAGAGTAAAGCAGGCTGGCCTTCAACCCTACCTCCTGCTGCCTAAGAGTCACAGTCCTAGAGGCCTGGTCCCTGATTGACACAGAGTGGACAACACTAGGGTCTAGAGAACTCTTGGCAGGAAGCTAGTGTTAATATGGACTCAGAACACTTGGGAAGGACTGCTTCCTTGGGGGAAGCTGGAAGGGTGGTGAGCTGGCCATCAGGCTACCCACAAAGCCTGACATTCCTGTCCTCACCATTAGGAATACACCTCTCTGATCCCATGTCTAGAACCAGGTTAAGTCAAGGCCAGCACAGCATGCCCACATGACCCACCTGGGGAAAAGGGGTGGCTTACAGCACAGGGTAGACCAGGTGAGTCCTCCCTGGCCTTTCATCAGGCTGAGCTAGCCACCCCAGCTTCCTGGGCCCTGGAGGTAGAAGTCAAAGGCTTCTCAGCTGTAGGAAACAAGCTGCCACTATCACACCCTCCGGCCCCCAGGCCCTTAGCGGGCACTCACCAAGCGCTCAGACATGGGTGTCTTGTCCCCGTCGGGAAGATGCTGCTCCAGGGCCAACACGATGCAGTTGGCGATGATGGTGGCCAAGATCATGTACTCGAAGGGAGTGCGTGGGTTAAGGACTGGCCAGGAGGCGCTATGAAGCAGTGAAGACAGGACAGTGCGGTGCAGCAGCCAAGGCTGAGGACTGCCGGCCGACGCCCACCCTCCCTGGGACTAGAGCCAGTCTTCCCAGCTCCCTGCCCCTATTCAGGGGGCAGCTGCGAGGTGGGGCCTCTTGCAGTTGCCCAGCCCCTCCGCCCTTTCCGACGCCGTCAGCACCGTGGACAGTGGCCCCGCCAAGCCCGCTGGCGCCTCGAGGGAACAGCCCGATTCCCCCCAAGGCGCAGCAGAAGCGGACCCCGCGCAGGCGCACATCCCACCTAAAGACACGCATCCACATGTCCCTACACGCGCACGTGAACATACATGTACTGAGAATGCCGAACGCACGCACGCGCAGCACCAGCTCTTGCGATGCCCGCGCGCGCGCGCGCGCGCGTGTATACACACACACACACACACACACACACACACACACACACAGAGGCACCTGCAACCAGCACGCGCACGGGCCCATATTCACACAGCGCTCACACCTGCATAGACCCCTATTCGCCCTCGGATGTCCTCCCGGCCGGCCACGCGCTGCGCACCCCAACCTGGCTCCCCAAGACCAAGTGCACCAAGGGACAAGCCCCCGAGCAGAGGGGCTCCGCCCAGCGGGCATCAGGTCTGTTTCCGCCTCCAAGACCTCACACGCGCACATTCAAGACTGCGCACACCCAAAGCCACGCAAACCCAGATCCACACATACCCAGGTCCACGCACACACGCGCGCGGGGACCGCTCTAGAGGCTCCGCCCCGCCCCTCCTCGCCGGGCCGCGGGGTCCTCGACGCGCCTCTCCAGGGTCGCACCCCCTCCAGGCCAGGGAAAGATGGCCACTGGGCGCCGCCGCCCAGGCCCAGCCGCCCCTCCTCGACCCGGCCCCCGCAGGATATGGCCACTCTGTGATGCGCTTGGCGTATTTTCGGACGACGTTGTCCTCGCTGAAGACGAAGAGCGAACGGTTGACGGTGAAGCAGTTCTGCTTGACCGGGATTGGGTTGTACAGGGCCATGGTCCGGGCGCGTTGCGCGATGGACTGCTTGTACAGAACCCGCTGGCCCGGCTGCAGCCCCCCGGGGCCCGGGCCG